GGACGTAAAAACGGGGGAGGCGCAAAGGGTGCTGGGGGGGGGGTGGGGGGGGGGGGGGGTGGGGGGGATGGTGGGGTGGGGGGGGGGTGGGGGGGGGGGGGGTTGGGGGGGGGGGGGGGGGTGGGGTGGGGTGGGGGGGGGGGGGGGGGGGGGGGGGGGGGGGGGGGGGGGGGGGGGGGGGGGGGGGGGGGGGGGGGGGGGGGGGGGGGGGGGGGGGGGGGGGGGGGGGGGGGGGGGGGGGGGGGGGGGGGGGGGGGGGGGGGGGGGGGGGGGGGGGGGGGGGGGGGGGGGGGGGGGGGTGGGGGGGGGGGGGGGGGGGGGGGGGGGGGGGGGGGGGGGGGGGGGGGGGGGGGGGGGGGGGGGGGAGGGGGGGGGGGGGGGGGGGGGGGGGGGGGGGGGGGGGGGGGGGGGGGGGGGGGGGGGGTGGGGGGGGGGAGGGGGGGGGGGGGGGGGGGGGGGGGGGGGTGGGGGTGGGGGGGGGGGGGGGGGGGGGGGGGGGGTGGGGGGGGGGGGGGGGGGGGGGGGTGGGGGGGGGGGGGGGGAGGGGGGGGGGGGGGGGGTGGGGGGGGGGGGGGGGGGTGGGGGGGGGGGGGGGGGGGGGGGGGGGGGGGGGGGGGGGGTGGTGTGGTGGTTTTGGGTGTTTTTTTTTTTTTTTTTTTTTTTTGTTTTTTTTTTTTTTTTTTTTTTTTTTTTGTTTTTTTTTTTTTTTTTTTTTTTTTTTTTTTTTTTTTTTTTTTTTTGTTTTTTTTTTTTTTTTTTTTTTTTTTGTTTTTTTTTTTTTTTTTTTTTTTTTTTTTTTTTTTTTTTTTTTTTTTTTTTTTTTTTTTTTTTTTTTTTTTTTTTTTTTTTTTTTTTTTTTTTTTTTTTTTTTTTTTTTTTTTTTTTTTTTTTTTTTTTTTTTTTTTTTTTTTTTTTTTTTTTTTTTTTTTTTTTTTTTTTTTTTTTTTTTTTTTTTTTTTTTTTTGGTAAATAAATAAAAAAAAATTAAAAAAAATATAATAAAACTGAAATAAAATTAAAAATAAAAAATATAATATAATAAATAAAATAGTAAAATATTAAAAATATATAAAACATAATTAAATAAATTAGATCCCTCACGAGCTCATTGAGGGAGGGATAGAGGGTTATTTGAGATAGAGGAATGGGGGGGGGGGGGGAAGAAGACGAAAAAATAGGTATATAAGATTTGGGAGGTAGGAAGGGGGGGGAGATAAAAGGAAATCAAACATTGGAGGGAGTAATATAGATCCGATGGATAGGAGGAGTACAGGTAAATTAGGCTGGATACACCAAAAGGAGCGGGGAAGGTGAGGATGGACACTAGAGTTGTAATAATTAGCGTAGTAATTAATAAGAAGGGATGGGAACTAGATAGAAGTGTAAAATCGGGATGACTAATTAATGCTATTTTAAACATATTTTCTTATAGTTTCAGTCGTGCCTGCTGTTGCCTTTGACACAATCTATTATAAACTCCGCGCAATAATATATATTCAGCGTTGAAGGGTGCGACCCCCAAAACATTGTTGGCGGCTTTCCGGTTTCGGAAATTTTTTTATATATTTAACTGTCACTGGTCGCCAGCCAAAGGGACGCCTGGCCTGCCGTCACTACAGAGGCACCATCTGGAGTTGGCTTTGCTGGCCACAAACCCACTTAGGATTAAAACCAACATACCCCTCAATATATCCAGTTGTAAACCCGAAGGAATAAAGTCGGCGAAGGAATATAAACGGGATGGGAGCAAGTATTTTTTCCAATCTAAATGAATGAAAGCCGGCCCCACACTCCTATCCCACAACGGCAAACACAAGCCACGCCTGGTATTGGGGGAAATCACAGCGCAATATGAGGCAGGTGGTTTAGTGCCGTCTTATGTCCGCTCCTCACTGAGTATGCATGAGTCTAACCACACACTTCGTAGTTCATAGCAACGCGGGGGGACAACTGACCGTGCAGCCCATCGTTGCCTCCATGAGCCCCGAGGGCTCACTCGACCAAACTATCTCCTTGTGCCAAGTATTATGGTCCGATCTTTTTTGGTAGTGTTGGGTAGTTTATAATTTAGTGTAGGTAGGGCCAAAACATTTCTTCTGGTCACGTGCATGCGGCTTGACTGTGCTTTGTGATATCCGGGTAGTACCATGTGGAAGATATTATTTATTTTTGAAATTGATAGGGGTCATTATCTGTGTGTATGAGTGCATTTTGTTTTGTTGTTGCGGTGAAAGTTGATGTCTTATTTGTAGGCGGAAATATCAACTCAAATTTGCAAGTATACTGGTAATTAGTCCAACTCACAGCAGAAAAATTGTGAATCTTATGTATTTCCGGTTGACTCAACATTGTATTACGTGATTCGAAAATACATAACGTAGATTGTTGATATTTTGGGTCCACAATTTACTCAACGATTCTACACACGCAATAAAGGTAACGTAGATTACCACAATTAGGGTAAGCACCATGGCCAGATAACAGAAGAAGATTATAGCAGAAGATTAATAGAAGATTAGTTACTCGAAGATTATAGTTAATGTAAGATTATTCTGGTAGGCAGAACAAAGCAATCAAAGTGAACTGAAATTCTTCCAGCATAAAATAAAACCTAATTTATTTGTAAGTTGTTTTAGCCAAACTGTGGTGAAGTAGCGGCACAAATACAACATCAGCCTCAGCATGGGGAACTATGCGACGAAACATGATCTGACGGTGTCCGTATTCGGATTTGCCTGTCACTGTGACGTCTATGGGGACAGTCACAGGACGCCTGCGCTTACAGAGGGTCATGGATGACTTGCGCAGCACCACCCACAGTTCTACCCACACACTCCATATCCAGTGTAAACCCGAAGGAATAAGACCTGGAGGCATGTGAATGGGAGCCACGTTCCGCTAACGGAGCCGGCCCAAACTCCTTCAACAAGCAGAACAGAAGCATTCCGGCCTAATTGGGAAATCATACACACCAGACATACACATGGCGGTGGCTAGACCGTAGCCCGTTCCACACAGGATGGAACCACTCTTTAAGCCTAGCACCGTCACGAGGACGGTGCACTCCGTCCCCACCAGCAACGACCAACTGTCTCCTGGAGCCAGTATGGAAGAGGTAGTGGGTAGGCACCTTGTCAACATTCATATCAAGCGCATCCACACCGGGGAGCTTAAACAACATCTACTTCTGAAATGCAAGCGTACTCATCATGCAGGCAAACGTACCACATAAGCCGCATTATTGGCCTGGATTAGTAAATTGAATGGGAACGTACTCATGGTGCTTCTATTCCGCGTGCAATGGTGCCTTCTCTGGCCCCTGTGAAACCGCCCTTTTGAGCAGTCCACGGAATTCGCATCGATAAAATTTGCCTTGGATTCGCAACACCTGAAATCAACATGAGTTTGTTATGAACTCACCTTCTTCATGTTCTGGTAATGTTATTTCCGGTTTGCTCGAATGTCGTTTTACCGCACTAAGTTAGCCGTACAAAAGCGGTATCAGTATCCTCGTGGAATTCATTCGGTATACATATATACAATGATTGGCGTCCTCTGTGCAAAATGACAGTTCGAATACAACATATGCACCTGTGTTTCCACGGGCTTCATTAGGAACTATCACAAACTGGTTAGAGACACATTAGTCCTCATGAACAAACATATATGAACAAACATGTATGGGGTTCATTTGGAAGTCAGGCTAAGAGTTACTTGCACTGGCATGAGAATAAGTACCCAATACGTACTGTTGATGTTCACTTCTTAAGGCCTATTTGACACAACAACGATATTACTACCTCAACTAAGTCCCGCTGGCCACTGTCAAACTTGCGGTTTTCCAAACAATGTTCACACTGTTTTGCAATTATCTAAGATGTAGCATGATTGTCATCCAACTACTCACCCGTATGTACATACCGTTGTGTATCCTGTTGTGGCTATAAACTATTCGGTTACGATCTACTTTAGTACGCCTGGGGTGCAGCTATTCGGTGCTCGTAAATTGAACAAATTTCCCTATGCGCCGATTCCTTTCCGATTTAATTTACTAAGACACTTAAGTACCATTTCCGTTGGCATTACATTTTCCTTAACCTACCCAGATGACTGACCCCGTCTAAGACAACTTCTAGTAGGTGCCTCTTATACAGGTGCAATAATGCTACTGCGTTGCACCAAGTCCGTACTTCATCATTCCACGTAGCAATTGCACCCAAGCTATTATTACATTAGCAATGGAATAAGGATGACACACAAAGATGACAGACCGTGAGTAGTCAACTACACAGGTTTGTAGTAGTAGTAGTAGTAGTAGTAGTAGTAGTAATAGTAGTAATAGTAGTAGTAATAGTAATAGTAATAGTAGTAATAGTAGTAGTAGTAATCTCAACAGTCTGTCAACTAAACACAAAGGCAACATAAAACCATGGAGATCAGCGGATAAGCAAGAGTCATCGCGTCATAATCATCGTGGCATGCTAGTTGAAGGTGAGCAACACACCTCAGCCAATATGCCGCAGGAAGAATGGAACATTTTGACAAAAGTAGAACAAAACATTTTGTGTTTGTTTTTCACACGCTGATTTTGCTCTTTTTTGTGCAGGTTTGTATGGAAATGGTGCGCTGGAGTCAACTGATTTTCATCCGCTCAGTTAAGATAAGGTTGTCGGATGAAGAACGGGAATTACGGCTCTAATCATTCTTACAGATTTAATGTGAAACCTAGCATGACACATCAACAACAGCATGTTAATCGCTAGTCAATTACTTACCGGGACTGTTCACTTCTCACGGATGTTCCGGAGCTATTGATATTTGAATGCACGATCCAACTTGAACATGTCCATCAGATTGCCAGTTTACCACCAAATAGAGGAAGCATTTCTTATCCATACAGTGTTGGGTAAAGTGTTTGTAGGCTATGGCAATGGTAAGGTACGGTAAAATAAGGTAACATGACGTAAGTAAGTCAGTGTAGCCCAACTGCGATGAAGAAGCATGGTGTACGCAACATCAAACCTCAGCATAGGGGCACTCGTATGGAGGTATCTGTGTTCGGATTACCAGTATGGCAAATACAGTACTCGCCTGCGTCTTTGCAGAACGTATGCGTGGTTGTCACAGTGCTGCAACATTTGATGAATTAGTACAGTATCAGTGCAAAAGTCCTCCCCCGTCCGATTCGGTTCTGACTCACCTCGCTCCATAACGTTCGGCCGGTTTAACGTGCACCGTCCTTCCTCAGTTGCGTACCACTAAGTGCCACATGTCAGTCCGTGGTGCTCGGTCTAACAATCGACGTGTTCGGCATAGCCCCATAGTGACCTCGTTGATGACTGGCCAGACCAGCTGGGCTAAAGCACACAAGGTCACATGCACTACAGCTACATGTGGGAGTAGCCGAAGAATTATAGTCCGACGGCAGATGATGTTTGCGTGCGGCACGTTTGATTTCTCGATGCACCATCTGCCTTTCTTGCGATTGGGCAAAGGTACAGGTGATGAGATCACGCCAGTTGCGGCGATTTGTTGCCAACTCCTCCCATATACTTAGGTCAATACTTAATCTGGACAAACTAACCTTGATATTATCTTGGTAACGCAACTTGGGTTTGCCAGCATTCCGG